AAATAATCTTACACATTCTGAAAACAAGATTATTATTCTTACACAATCAGGTCTTGTTTAGTAAATCAGTCTCAAAACAAGATCAAAAAGACTTTTTTGACTGGATATAAGATTTTAAAACTTGGTTAGGTGGACATTTTTTGCAATGCAACCCATCAGCTGTCCACCCAGTTCTCCAAGCTTTTCTTGTACTACAATATTTACACCCTAAAAAAATAAGTCTAAAACAAATAAGAAATTTTYGATTTGTGTTTTAGCTGTTCATTTAATTCATTCATATTATTTATAAAGTATAGACTTACAAAAAAGTCATTTCATGGCACTATACAAAAGTAAATTCTATGTTATATCAWACAATCAATTCAGATTCAAATAAAATTGCAGTTAACTAAATTTGAGCTAAAATACAAAACGTACGCGTTATAAAATGTCAACTAATTAAAATAATTGATATAAGGAAGTCGGCAAGTTGCATCAGTTTTTATCATCAGAGAAAAATAAAGATTTGCTTGATTCTGAGAGCWGCTCTGCTCCTGCTGAAGCTCTGTTTGTTTCGTTGGCAGTTTTGCTCCAGAGTGCTTTGTGACACATGATTACAGAGGTGATTGTGTTTTAGGTGACTGGATATCATTTATTGTGATCTGTGTTTATAGACGGCTRATATTACAGGACTTCAGTCAGATGATCTTAAAAAAAAACTGTACATCCTAATGGAATTATTTATTTCAGTTTTCTTCACACACTGTGTTTCTGACCAGCAAGAATCAAAACATTTAATGAGCAAACATGTTCTCTGAGTCTTTCTCTCAGATTCAATCAGTTTCTTCAGAAGACAAACTCCAAACACACACTGACTCCACACTCTGCTTGTAACACACACACACACAGATCCGTGTTTGACAGCCTCTCCTCAGCACAGAGCTGGGAGGTGATTTGGGTAAACCCGCTGCCTGCGTGAGGTATTTATTTGTTCACGGCTCCAATACGGACAGACCCCCCCCCCCCCCCACACACACACACACACACACCCATTCCCCAAAGGGGTCCCCCTGCCTAACGCTTCATGGATGGCTAATTTTCTTTTCCTGACCTCCCTTTGTGTGGCATTGACCCGCTTCACCCCCCACACACCTTCTACTCCCTCAAATAGCTGCCAACACACACACACACACACACACACACACACACACACACACACACACACACACACACAAACGCATAAGCTTTACTTGGTCCTCTGTGGGGCCTTGAAGTGATCCTGTTTTTTTTTTTAAGGAGTTTGGGTACGAGGTGACAAGTGAGGTGAGATTTAGATGGAGACGGGAGGTGGAGCGGGCGTGTTTGGGTCGGGGTGGGGGTGGGACTGACTCATTCCCACAGTCTGACAACAAGTGACAGGATAGATGGCTGCTGGGATTTGTAGTTTTGTAGCATAAATCCGTTCATGTCGGCTTAGACAGAGTTGAGGCTGCTGGTTGGTATTTTTGTTTCTTCTACAGACAAAAAGTGATGTTAATTACAGTGAAGCTGCTGCTGCAGGATGATAAATAACACAAATGAAACAAAAGAAATGTCAACCAATTAACCCAAAGGGTTAATGTTTTACAAAAAATATATTATTGTGACTACATATTCTCGTTTTGAAATTAAATTTCTTCATGTTTTTAAATACTCAGGATTCTTTCTGATTTTTTTCTTTTTGTCTTTCGTTTCTCTTCCTCTGACTGCTTCCATTTTTTGCTAAAAACACAAACTCRTCTGCTGTCGTTTGTCTAATACTGACATCTGATTGGTGTGTTTCAGATTTAGCCTATATGTGTTTGCACAACTGGTCGATGTGTTTAACCAGTCCGGTCATAGGTGTGTTCCTCTGAAAGGCCTTTGAAATGACAGGAAGTGACATCATCATCTGTCTCTGTGTTTAAATGTATGTTTTGCACAAAGTGCGAGGCTGATGTGCTTTTAGTTGTGCAAATCTGGGCAGATGTTTTGCTACTTGAGTCGGGGAGGGGATATTATTTCAGTGTATTTCATTACATTAAAAACTGCAAATATGAATTATTTAGAACAAGCTGAACTTCAAAACTGTTTGTTTTATCAATTTCATTCATAAAAGGTACAAGACAAGCAAAATAAATCAGTTTTAAATCTAATATTTTTCACTCTTTCTTCAATCCACACATGGCAGCCACAGTGCATATCTTGATTCAGTGATACGTCTGTTTCTCTTGTCTTCTTCTTCTTACAGACTGTGATTCTTACTGCAAGGCCTCAAAAGGCAAACTGAAAATCAACATGAAGAAATACTGCAAGAAGGATTACGGTGAGTCAGACAACACACCAGGTAGTAGTGAAACTAACACGTGTGTCTTTAAGAACAGGGAAATGGTCATGTTTACTTATGTAACACCTTTCACAGAGGGGAGAACAGTGCATTACAATAAACTCAAATTAAASCGAACACAATAAAAAAAGATGAGCAGACAGAAGAAAAGAGGGGGAGTTTGATGGAAACCGCAGAATGCAGAGTTAGACAGAGGTGCGTTTGCGTTAGGAAGCTAAAGCAGAGGCCAAGAGACAGAAAGTGTGTGTGTGTGTGTGTGTGTGTGTGTGTGTGTGTGTGTGTG